TGCAGTAGAAGAGGCACATGAAAGCGAGAGAATATAAGGGGCTGATGAGCTCGCGGAAGCCATCGTTGGAGCTTTGGCAAGAAAGCAATGCTTCTCGTATAGTGCACTGCGAGATCCAGTCCCTTTGGACTGGATGTCTATACATATATGGCAGGTAGCTCTGCCTTTTGTTTATTGAGTATTGACTGGCTCGGTTGGGGTGACCGTGACTTCGAGTCAAGGCATGAGGCAGTCAAAGTCGTAGTCTATGGTTCATATGGCTTCCGCTGTTTCTGTACAGCAATAATTGGGACTGTTCAATGCAGGCTTCCCTCATGGTCAGTTTAGGCCCCGTTTGGATCTAGTTTACGGAGACTATTTTTGCATGTCCTATTGGCAGACGCATGGAACACCTCCTGCTCAAGACCTCAGCTCTTTTATTTGCCCATTGAAATTTTCAAATAATATAATCTCGTATAGAGAAATGAGCGAAACTGAAGTTCTACTACTTGAAAAGTTGTGCAATTTTGTACATCAGCCGGTCTCCTTGTAGCTAGAATGAGGAAACGACGACGACGACGAACGACTCGGCTCACGGGTCGTCTCCCCAGCATGTGTTGATGACTTGCTGCTTGGTGGTTGCCAATTAAAGGCTGCACCCACAGAGGACGGTGGGTCTCCACCAAACGTCGTGCATTATGCTAGTGGTGACGAGGCACTGCACGACAGTTCCATGATTGAGAAAAGGATGTTAATGTTTATACTATCTATATGCATGGTTCATTCAAGCGTTCACGATGGTGATAAATGATGTTGGGCGTTGGAACCTGGGCGCTGGCACAATGTAAATAAGGCGAGTCCTAAAGAGAGTTCCAAAGGAGTTTCATTCTTATTTAATGATGCTCTAACATATTAGCAAGCTTGCTGAGTTGACTAAAACAAAAGGTCCCTCTAGGCATGTTTTTCGTAGTAGTAACACAGGTTAAAAGCATCTTTATATGAGTACCTAAAGACGCTTCTTGAAACCATTTTGAGAACGACCCAATATAACACGATATTAGACACATTTTCACTGTCAAAAGGCATCTAAAGACACTTTTTATAATGATATTGAAAATGTCTCAAAATGACACGGTGTTAGACATGCTTTTAATGGTCATGAGCATATAGGCACGTTACAAAGTGTATATATCAAACCACGTTTCATTATCAATTAGAGATGCTTTTTGTTGCAGTACCCTAAAGATGTCTCAAAATGACACGAAGTTAGACACACTTTAAACCGATAGTAGGGTTTACATACGCTGCAAAGCATATCAAATAATCATGCATAGACACATAATGATGCATCTTACTATTACTAATTCGAGGCCCCAACGGAGCCTCCACGTTAATCCTCACGAGATGCGATAGAAAAAAAGATAAATGCTAGAAATTCTTACATTAATCAGAAACATCTCGCCATCAAAACAAAGACTCTAGCCAACCATCATCACTGGATCTATTTTATTTTTCTAGAAAAATTATCTGCATTTATAGATGAAAACCGTTTTTTACAAGAAAAAACGTTGGGCGTTTGGAGAAAATCTAGATGGTCATAGCGAGTACATTTTTTGGGAACGGGCATACCGATTACTAACATTCATAGTTAGTTAGATATAATAATAAAATATCGGACGAGTGCTACTAAACCGTTTCTTCATGAGAAAAAACGTTGACTTTTGGAGAAAATCTCGATGGTCATACCAAGTACTAACATCCATAGTTAGTTAGATATAACAACAAAATATCGTACGAGTCCTATTAATCACGTCACGTGATAATGCATTATTAAACTATCATATCTGCGGTACCGGTTCATAGTTAGTTAATAAAATATATATATTAATAAAAAAATATAAGTATTAATAAGATATCACATTATCGACATTCACATTTAATTAACAAAATATTCACATGAGTTGAATCCTATTAATCACGTTACATGGTAATGCATTATTACAACATCATATATGTAGTAACGATGTTCATAGTTACCTAATAAAATATATGTATTAATAAAACAAAATATATGTACTACTAAAATATTATATTACCGACATTCACAATTAGTTCATAAAATATGCGATGAGTTCTACTAATTATGTTAACTTGGTAATGTATTAATAAATTATCATATGTGTAGTACCCATCAGGTCTACTATATTATAGTTAATCTGTTATCAGAAAAATCCGTAGAATGTTAATATTTTAAAAAATATGAGAGGCAAACAAATAAGATTTGACATGTGTTGCCGCAAACTGAAATTAAATCTCTAAATTTACATGTGAATTATGCACCTCTGCTATTTATGAACTATAATTCAAAATAACCCATAAATTTGTATCTAAATAATCCACTTATGTCACTAACAAAGTTAATACAAAGTAAAACTTTGGATGATGAAATTAATTATCCACCTCCACTGTTATAAAAACAAAAAAATATCTCTAAATTAACGTGTAATAATATAAGTTATCACGGCAAATAAATTAATAACCATTGCCATCTTAAATAAGTTTATGTTGACTAAAGTATTATGCCATACAGTAATATATTTTAATATTAAATAAAAAATAGCTTCAAATCTACATGTCAATAGTAATATAGTTATTATGACAAATCAATTCATTAATAACCATTGTTATTTAAATAAGTTTTTTATATGTTGATTAAACATTATTTCATATCAATATTGGTAATCTAATTTTAAGCGTTCTACGTTTTTATAAAACAATAGGACTACAAAAATTTAATTATTTTGTATAAATAATTTAACAACTTGATTGTCGCTGTCCAAGCTGTAATGTCTTTTAATACCATTTTAGTAGTTAAGAGTGTAGTCTAAAATCTATACTATTTTTTAAATCGATAAAAGTAGATATTATGACAACACGTTGAAACATGGGGCCAGCCGGATCTTAAGAAGTCAATGTATTCATCGTGAGGATATGCAATTTATAAAAGTGAACCAGCATCTCACAAAAGTCGCTAAAAATATTGTTTCTCCGTTTCCAGTGTATTATAGAGATTTTAAGATAACTTAAGAGAGAATACAAGAGATAGGTATTCCTTTTATTTCTAAAAGAGACCTTCGTCCACGTGATTAGAGGTACCTACCAACTTTATACATCTATTTTATAAATCCCTTATACTAGAATGCTCTATAGCATGGGAGGGAGTATGTCCAACCTATACATATAACTAACTAATCTATCATCCATGTTTGGTCAAAAGAATCTAAAAACAAATCTATCTGACAGTGTTGGAATCCTCAAAAGTAGAAACTACAATGATGTTGCTGAAATGAACAAGGTAAGCTATGTTCCCCCTTTCTCCTACATGTAACTTTTTTCTATTAAATATATACTACTTTGACTATTATGAATATCCAATTAATATCATATTATCTATGGATCATATATATACAAAAATCTACATCGGAGAACATCATGCTAACCTAAGAAGTCATCTACATCAACAAGATGATTTTCAAAGAAGGGGCACAACATCTAAGAAGGATGGAAACATAATAATACTGCAACATCTTTTCAAGGGTGAATAAGTACATAGCAAATAATTTCAAAGATGCAAGGACAATATGCATCAATGAATTGAGAGCAATGTGACTTATTATTTATGTCGGCAGTAGCCATTCACAAATAAAAATATTAGAAGCCAACAAATGACAAGCCAAACATCAATTGTATGAACTTTCAGATTAACCTCAAAAAAAATTTCCACACAAATCACATAAAGAATATAATTTATGAAAACAATTGATGGTACGAACGTAAGTATCAATACTCAATCATGCCAATCACAGGTAAACCAACATTTACTATTGTTACCCACATAGTTCAATTACTAAAGAGGGATGATGTCCAACACATACATATAGTACTTCAAAAAAATCAGCTATACAAGGACACCAAACAAATGAAGGAAAGGAAGACACTGGACCGTGGAATCAAAATAATGTTACATCATTAGTTGTGGCACGACAACCTCTTTCATTCATGCCAATGTCAAATCTTATACACATGTGTAACTATGGATTCGAATCAAAGTGAATTGCATAAGTAATTTTTATTAGTGAATATATACTAAACAAAAAATTATATTGTGCTTAAGTATCTTAAAATTAGTCCGTGCAGGAGCACGGGTTGATGGACTAGTTTTTATATAATAATGCAACCACCTCAAAATGAAACAAAATTTGACACACTTTGGACTGTCGGTAGCATGCAGACACATTCTAGACCATATCAATTAACCCATATAGCTACCTAAAGATGTTTTGTTGATGCGACATTGAATATGACGCAAAGTGAAAATAAAATTAGAAATTTGAAGAGGTTCTAGGTTTAAATCGCCTTAGAAAAAATCTTAGGAAATGTCCCTCCAAATCATATCAAAATTCAACCCAAAACCTTATTCTATTATTTTTTATTATTCCTAATTATCATTTTAGCCTATTAATTTCCTCTCTCATGGTTGAGCCCATCTATTCCGCATCCCTTCAAAGTTCATACTTTACTTCGGCTGCCAATTTGTGCACTTCCCGTAGCCCATTTGTAGAGCAGCCCATCTATAAGATTGGTTTTAAAATTGTTACCTCTAGTTGCTCAAAAAAACATACTTACTTGCCCTTCATGTCAAAAGCCACTTCTCTAGTGCTATCATGGCCCTTTCTGATGCCCATCACCTCCTCCTCTCCCAACACGGCTAGGCAGTGGAGCTTTGGCCGCGGCAATATTCGACTCGACACCACAACAGTGATCCTGTCCCGCCATTTTGATGCTCCAGGTCGCTGCATTAACAGGTTTAATTTGGAGCAAAATTTATTGAATGCAAATACATGTTCAGAAATGGGTTCTAAATAGTATTTAGCTACGACTCTCTTATTCTACGTTATCACATATCAATTGCTGTGCTGCTATCGGCTCTCAGCATGCTCTGCTCAGCAACCCAGGCACCAATGCCTCTGCCTATTGCCACCGTTGACGCCAAGGGTCGGCAGGCGCATGGTGCAGCCGTGCTCGCCATTGGCACGGCTAACCCAACTAGCTGCGTGCCACAGGAAGAGTATGCCGATTGGTACTTCCGGGTCACCAAATCCGAGCACCTCCGCGAGCTCAAGGCGAAGATGGAGAGGATATGTGAGAGCTTGATGTGCTGGTTTCCTTTTAGTTAACCTGCTTCGATCTCCTTGTGGCTTCTCTCTTGGGTTAAAAACTAAACTGGCAAAATGTTGGCTGAGTTTTATGGTTGTACATGCATGTGTAGGTCAAAAATCTCGAATAAAGAAGCGCTACTTCCATGACATGGAGGACACATTGCTCAAACACCCAGAATTGGTGGACAGCGCGCTGCCGTCGCTGGACGCCCGGCAGAGCATACTGGCCTCCACCATGCCAGAGGTCGCCGCGGCCGCAGCTGCGCGGGCCATTGCAGAGTGGGGCCGCCCAGCTGCCGACATCATCCACCTGGTCTTCTCGACCAGCTCAGGCGCGCACATGCCGGGCGCTGACCTCCGGCATGCGTCACTCCTGGATCTCCGCCCAACGGTGCAGCGTACGATGATGTATATGAATGGCTGCTCTGCGGCCTCCGCCGCGCTCCGTGTCGCCAAGGACATTGCTGAGAACAACCATGGCGCCCGCGTGCCAGTGGCTGCTGCCGATCACACGCTCATCAACTTCCGCGCACCGCATGAGGACCACCCCGAGACCCTCATCATGCAAGCCTTGTTCGGCGACAGCGCGGCCGCCGTCATCGTTGGCTCTGTCAGCAGCGGCACCGGTGGGCATGCCAATGGCCACCAGATGTCAGGCGTTGAGCACCCGCTCTTCGAGATGTTGTCCGCTTCCCAGACTGTGGTGCCCAACAGCGAGGACGCCGCAGCGGGGAAACTCACCGAAGACGGCCTCGTGTTCTGCCCATCCCCTAAGATGCCGGCACTGCTGCGGCAGCCTGTAGAACAGTGCCTGGTCGACGCCGTCATCGGCATGCTCGGATCAGGTGGCAGCTCGAACTGGAATGACCTCTTCTGGGCGGTGCACCCCGGTGGGCCAGCTATCCTTGACAGCGTTGAAGCAGCGCTGGCGCTGGCGCCAGGGAAGCTGGGGCGAGCAGGCACGTGTTGAGCGAGTACGGCAACTTGGCAGGAGGATGGGCTCCGGCGCCAGCATGACGAGCTGGAACTGGCAGGAGGCATTGGGGTCATGCTAGGGCTTGGTCCAGGGATCACCGTTGAGACAATGGTACTCCGAGCTGCAAGTGGTTTATTTTAACAAAAGTGTTAGCTTGAACGCAACCGCAGCACAGGAAATTGGTTTGAAAGGAATTCATGGAAACAATACATAGAGAAGAGCATGGAGGCGATGGCTGTCTGTCTTCTCTCTCTCTCTCTCTCTCTCTCTCTCTCTCTCTCTCTCTCTCTCTCTCTCTCTCTCTCTCTCTCTGAAAAAAGACACTCGAGAGATATATATATATATATATATATATATATATATATATATATATATATATATATATATACATATATATATACACACATATCATATATATATATATATATATATATATATATATATATACATATATACATATATATATATATATATATATATATATATATATATATCTCAAGGAAAACAATAGCTTTACCAAAGGGCAAACATGAAATGACTTCTAAGAAATAAGAGTGCATTGAAGATCCAAACAGTCATCTTCTTCCTTTGATCGTCCGTCCATTGGCTGTCGAAAATTGAAAAACATTGTGAAGAGAAAAAACGACACTGATGTGGTTTTCAGGAAATCATAAAATGGGCTGAAAAATAGGGAAAAAAATTTATACCGGGGAGATAACCCCACCAGACAGCCACTCAATCGTGCGTTGCAAGTGTCAAGTCACGGGATTTTCACGCGAAAATGCGCGCTTCGCAGCCACCAAAGACTCAAACCCCTAACCTCTTGCTTTGTGTCTTCGCCCCTAACCACTCCACCTTTGAGATGCTTGTGTCCAAATGAGATATTCATCTTAGCCATTTTATGTTCATCTGATTTTGAAATGAGTATTTGGGATCCTAAACGATTTTAAATAAAAAGTGGTCAACTACAAAGTTTTATAACTCTTCAAGATCTACAACATTGGTTCTGGTCATTTATTCATCCGAGGTCATTTGAAGAATCTGAATTTCAAATGTGAGAAAATTCTATAGTAATTTTTGTTGGATAAATTATTTCAAATTTAAAAGTTGTCAACTGCAAAGTTGCACAGCTTTTCGAGATCTACAACTTTTGTTTTGGATGTTTCTCCATCCGAGGTCATTTGAAAAATTCAAATTTTAAATTTGAGAAATCAAACGTAATTTTCGTTAGATAAATGGTTTCAAATAAAAAAGTTGTCAACTACAAAGTTGCATAACTTTTCGAGATGTATAACTTTTGTTTTGCTTGCTTCTCCATCCAAGATTCTCAAATGCCACTATACATTTACTTATGACTATGGAACATATGCCTTTAGTTGGTATTAACTTCTATGAAATCTTGCGAATCAAATAGAGTGACATCATAACGATTTCAAATAAAAAACTTGTAAACTACAAACTTGCATAACTTTTCAACGCCTACAACTTTTGTTTGGGTCACTTCTCCATCCAAGGTTCTTAACTACAACTGCACACTCACTTATGACTATGGAGAATATGGACTCCTTTGGTATTAATTCTATAAAGTCTTGTGGTGTATATTTGGACATCCAAACGATCTTAAATCAAAAAATATTTGAACTACAATGTTGTAGATCTCGTCGAGTACTACAACATTGATATAAAGTTCGTCTTCATCGGACATCAAATGAGAAAGTCATGAAAGTTTTCTTGTACTATATCACTGTCGGTTTGAAAAACCGACAGTGATGACCCAATATCAGTGTCAGTTTTAGCTACAAACTGACAGTGATGACCCAATATTAGTGTCGGTTGGTCCTATCAGTGTCGGATATGTCAAAAAACCGGCAGTGATGTGTTGAGAGGCACTATCACTGCCGGTTTCTTAAAAACCGACAGTGATGAAGTCGGCAGTGAATGTCAGATCTATAGTAGTGGTTATATTGTCTTATTTTAGTGCCAACTGTGGTCGGTCTTAAATCGGCCATTTCTGATAGTTTGTTTTGTGACATTTGCCTCTTGGTTCTGTGGTTTGTGAAGGCCATAAGTGTGTTACATTAAGAGGGGTTTCCACCATAGGCAGTGCTGTTTTTTTTTAAGTGAACACCATAGCCTGTGCTGTTGCAGGTGCACTGTTGATTAGTTCCAGTCCAAATGGTGATGTTTGTCTTGCTGGCTAACCTACTGTCACAGCTGCCCACATTGGAACCATGGTTTTGGAAATGGAAGAAGACATCGGTAGCTAATTTTGTTAGGCGAGAAGGAACAGGAGGGTAGGTTGTGTTGTTGTTTGGGAGCCAAGTTATGGCTCATTGTTGTATTCCTAGATTGTGAATAGTCCTTTTTATGATCTTGGCCTTCATTGACGGTCTGCTCTCTCTTCTCCTTTTTAATATATGCCGGCTAGTATATAATGAAGCATTTTTTAGGTCTGAACTCTCCAGATCCAAATAGTGCTCCGATCATATTGTAGGGCGTGTTCGGCTGGCTTAAAGCCAGCCGGCTGGCTTGTTTTTCCTCTCACTGAATTACTATTCACGTCCCGCCGTAACAGTATTTTTCTCTCACAACAATCAGCCGGAACAGTATTTTTCAGTTCTGCCGAACAGGCCCGTAGTTAGTACTCCCATGGAGTCAGGATCTAGACACAGGTTAACCTAGATGACCGTACCTGCGGTTTGGTAAATCCGGGTAGGATTTAGAGATTTGTGAGGCCGCCCTATCCTTTAAATATGAACAGCCAAGGTGATTGAAACCATCCGGTCAGTGAAAACACAAATACATCCATTTGTTGTTACCATTCCAAGCCCGAATATTTATGTCACAAACACTAATTATTGTCCTGTCTTTGTCTCTACGGTGCCTTGAGGCACTCCAGCCGATCTTGCAAACCCTAAAATAACCCTAGCTAGTTTGTCTGTAGTGGAAACGGGTACCTCGAAGGTTGGCGATCGTTAAGTTTCATGTCAAGTCGCATATGTTTGATCTTCAGAAGTTATGTGGCCATGCAGTGCATCAGCTGTGAACTGCACTCCCTAGTGTGATAGTGCATGCCCACCTTTTTATGCCAACACACTTTTGCCAATTCTACTTTGAAAGATCATCCGTCAGCTACTATGCCCCACACAGTTTTTTTTATCATGCTGCTGACTTACTAAGACTACCATGCCGACGTGAAGGGTGGTTTGTGTAATCTCGACGAGAAGGTGTTGTTTATAGGGAATTATTGTATGATATGACATCTAGGTTGCATGCTTGCAAGCGAGACTGGCTCCTACGTGGAATATGGTTGGATATAAATAACGACAAGCCGACGTGGACTTGTGCATGGCAATATCAATCCAGGTACTACGTCAAAAATGCGTTGTTTACGATTAAATAAAGTCTAGATATTATATTTTAATTCATTAATTTTTGTTTTTTTTTCATTCAGTCAGCTGTTGCTCACAAGGAGGGAAAGTTCACGTGCCCCGTCCGACGACTACCCAACGAACTGTTTGTCATCTAGTGTTGATCTTATGCCGTACGTATGTCGTTTGTACGTCCTCCCTAGTTTCATCCCCTGATGTGATTTAGTTACTGTTGCCCGACTCATAACGGCTTGTTGCTCGTCGACTGAAACAAGCAGATGTCGTTATAAACAAATCTACACTGATAACGACATGTCTCAAACTTTTATAATCCAGCCACCAAATTTATGGGGGCGGCAGCACGGTACTCTTTTTTTTTTTTGACATGCTAACATACTAATGCAGGCGGTTAAAATGATTTTGTGAAAGTAATTTTCATAGCCGGTTCGAGAAAAACCCGATGGTGAAAAACCGGAGTAGCCTGTGTCTCGTTCATTTCTCTCTCCCACCTCGTGTTTTCTCTAGCTTAATTGCATGTGCTTTCTATGGCCAGCTGACATGTGGGGTCGTCCACCAATATGTCACGATGCGAATGGACGCACGACAAGCACACATGTCGTCATGACGAGTTACTGT